TTGGCCTCGTAGAATGACAGCACAGACACCGTCACCGCGCGCATAGCCCTTGACACCAGCGGCAAAGGCGCGGCTACGGCCTTCCTCGGAGAGCATGCCCAAGTCTGTCATGGTGATGAAGATGTTTGGGTCGAAATGGAGGGCAGAGCCCACGATGATGGACGTATCACAGTCTCCACTCTGGACAGACTGTGCCCCCAGATGAAACGCCACCAGGGATGAGGAGCAGGCAGTGTCAATGGTGAGACTCATCCCTTGTAGATTAAAGACGTAGGAGACACGATTCGACAAGATGGCATTGCCGGTGCCGGTCACGGTGTAGCTCGGATAGTGTTCGAGATCTTTGGTGAGCATTGCATTATAATCATTGGTGAATGATCCGCATAGGACGGAAGTACGCGAGCCATTGATTTCTTCCAGGGTGATTCCGGCATCTTCCAATGCCTCATACACCACCTCCAGGATCAGTCGTTGTTGGGGATCCATTGCTTCAGCCTCCTTGCCTGAGATGTGGAAGAAGCTTCGATCAAAGTGCCCCAGGTCTTGATCGAGATAGTAGCCATATTTTGCGTTGGTCTGGCGCATTCATCAGCGTAACATGCTCTGATAGAAACAAGGACAGGGGCATTGCTGGGAAACTCTCACTGACCGTGCCCTTGTGAGTGCCATCTGGATGAAAGAAGTTGTCGACGTTGAACCGATTCGCCGGCATTTTGCATCGCACATCCTTCTGCTGAACGAGATTGTCCCAGAGCTTGCTGGGTCGATCTGCGCCTGCGACACGACAGGCATAGCCTACCAGGACAGCCGGGTTGGGACCATCGATGGATGTCACTGAGGACCCTGACTCAAAAGGTGAGAAGCCCGGCGAGGACTCCTTCGTGGAGACCTCTGGCCCTTGAGAAGTTCGACGCCCCCTTAAGTCTCCAGCCATGATTATTTGGGACACGGATGGAGGGGTGGTGAGGGAGGAAAAGAGAATTTATTATCAATATTAGAACAGGAAAGGCGGAAGGGGGAAGGGTCCAGTCGAGAGGCATGAAAATCTATTCTACGTCTTAAAAGTGAGCGGAACCGGGAAAGACAGAGAGTTATAAAGTAACGACGGAGATGGAGGTGAATAAGGGAAGCGATTGAGATTCCATATTCAGATATTGCTGCTGCTGCTACTCATCCTACCCACCTACTCCCACCCACACCCCTCCCCCTTTCCCACCGCCGAGTGATCTCTGCTGTTCACTGCAATCTGCGAGCTTCGTCCTCAGTAACTTGGCCGGCCGATCCATGACTGTCTCAGGAGGTTCTGCAGTTACTCTTCTAGACCGTAAGATTGCACGACTTTCCGCGGGATGCTTGGGTCACTTGCGGCCACACTAGTCTGCCCCTTCGCTTTCTCCTCCGGCATGGGATGCTGGCCAAGTCTGATAACTGAGCAACAGCTGGATATTTCGGTTCTATTTGCCCAGCATGCGTCTGGCATATAACTCCAAAGTTCGAAAGTGTTCGACGTAGGAGGCTTGACCCATTCCCCCTTACGGGAGCCGGGCGAGCAAAGCAGGCAAGTCAGACTTCCGACGACCTCCCGGCAGGCAAGGGACTCGTGGGAGCCACCATCGGAATCCGACCTTGCTGCACCGGCGGCATGTGGCGGACAAAGCCATCCTGTATGAGCCCAAAGCATGTACGAACTTGACATGGCGTTGCTGAAAAAAAGGGATCTATCTATATCTTGGCCGATCACGCAAACGCGTAACTTGAGGGAGGACGAGCCTCACTGAAGCTCTTGGCTGCTTCCCGGTAAAATTAATATTGATCTAGCAGGTTCTTCTCTCGTTTGGCCTTAATATTCCGAACGCAGAATCCATTGTTCAAAGTAATGAAAGGCAAGATTTTCCTAGGAGACAGGGGTGGTTGTTTAGCTACGGTGTGTAGCCCATGAATGAAGATGTATTTTGTCTTCTTTTACATTTTTTACATACTCAAATATACTCGGGGTCTTGAACCGAATCCATATCTATAGCACTGAACTGCTAGCTAACTAAATCTGAACATCTTCCTCGGGAAGCAGGTTCAACCACTTCTTGAACACATTCTTTGGGTCGTACTGTTTCTTCAGCTTCTGCAGCCGCGGCAGGTTGTCCCCATAGACATCCTTTGCTCGGCCGTCACTATGCGAGTAGTTGGCATATGCTCGGGCATGGGCACCACCACCGGCACGATCGCCAACCTTCCGCATGAGGGCGCGCTGTGTCTCGCGCATTATCTTGTCCAAGCTGGGATCTTCCCAGCGGAACGCACAACCCACATTGTACCATGGACCCCGGGTCGAATAGGACATGGTATCCTTGGGCACCTGAATGGCCTTCTTGTGCGAAACCAGCTCGAAGAGAACGGCGGTGGCACTGACCCCATCGTAGGTCTTGATCATCGTGCCGTAGTCCTCCAGTAGTTCCTGGAAGAACTCGACCTGCAGAGGCAGCTTGACGAAGGCCCCGCTGAACGACTTGCGACCCCCATACGTGGCGATGGGGTTCTGGATGCTATTCAGCTGCTCATACGGCATCATTTTTGCCGTGTTAATGGTGGGTCCCAGTTTTAGAATGGGGTTAAATTGCCTCTCGGCCTCCTCCTGGGGTCCATTGTAGAAGATGGCCGCCACGATACTCACCCGGCCAGGGGGCATGGCACCGCAGAAACCAAAGAAGATGCCCATGTCCCCTTTGTTGGTGTCATCCTCGAAGTGGTTGACAAACTCAATGATCTGGGGCAGACACTGCGCCGGCCAGCTCAGCAGGCCCGCATACACTTCGTTCTTCTGCTCATAGGCCTGGAAGATAAACTCGGTGGTGACGCCGAAATTTTGACCAGCACCACGAATGGCCCAGAACAGATCCGGATTCTCCGTCTCGGAAGTCTTCAGAATACGACCATCCGCCACCACGACGGTGGCTCCCAGCAAGTTGTCAATGGTCAACCCGTAGCGGCCTGTCAACCAGCCATAACCTCCTCCCAGGGTCAGCCCACCAACCCCCGTGTGGTTGACGGTGCCGCCGACAGTGGCCAGCTTGTAGGGAGCTGCTGCACGGTCGATATCCTCCCACACGGTGCCTCCCTGGGCCGTGATTGTTTTGCGTTCGGGGTCCACCACCACGCCGCGCATTTTGGTCATACTGATAACAATCCCCCCTTCCGTTGCGGAGGCGCCGCTAGTGGAGTGACCGCCATTGTGAACCACCATAGGTATCTGGTGATTGCTCGCAAAGACCACGGTTAGCGAGACCTCCTCGGCCGTGGTGGGAAGGACTACGGCTCCCTATAACCATTCACAGTCAGTATAACATCAATCGAGTGTTTCTTCCTCAAGGGCCACTGACGGCTTTCTTTTCGCATGTGTCACTCCAGCGTCTGATGCCTTCCGCGTATCCGGGTTCACCCTCGGTGAGGACCTCAGCGTTGGTACCCGCCAGCAGCTGGCGCAGTTTAATGACTTCCGAGGGAGTAATCGAATGCATGATGGGAAAATAATGGCCTAGTCAACGGCGATGTGAGAGTCAAACTTGTTGCTATCAGGCTGCTGTAGGCTTAATGAACGGAATAGTTCAACTGGAGAGATAAGGAGAAGATTTAGAGCATGAACCGGAGGTGAACCATTTGACAAGGCCCTTCTTCGACAGGGTTCAGCGCGAATGCCGGGGCGGATATACTCTATAATCCCGGTGCCTGATTTCGTGCAGGCAGGAGACGAAATCGAAGCAATCGACTTTTGTCTCCATTGTTCCAGTGCTGTTCTTCATCCCCAGACACCCTTACTTTGGCCTCATTTGGTGGTACGCCCTTCATCATTGCAGATTGGTAGCATCTCGGATATTGCATGATCATCAACCCGATTAGGACTGGATCTACTAAGGAGGGCTTTCAATCCCCGTGAAACAACAGCATGTTGAACGTCTCAGTGTGTGATCAATGATTGGCTGGAAGGTCATGCCAGCATTCTTCGATATAGCAGGCGGCATCTCTGGGGGAATTTTAAAGTTAACTTCAGTTTGACAGAGTGCGGAAAGACCGCCAGCGTTGCACTGGACCTCTTGGCTTTGCCAGCCCATTGATATTGCAAGAAATTATACTAATTTGCAGTTGCTGGACGACCTTATATATTTCTCCTAGACGAAGCAGTATTGTCTGTGATATATTTATCACAAGTGGACCATCAAACGACGATCCTCTCGCACTGTGCCAAAGTATGCGAATTACTTTAATTGCGAACACTAGCTTTGGAGTTCAATATCGTCCATAAAGGGAACCCGGGGAAAGCCCCCTGCATCGAAGGCCACGCTCGATGCGTGTAAATATATGAGATCTTTACATGCACACTCGGAAACTTTTGTGGATATGGCGAACCTGACCGTTTACTCCGGCTTTCCACCTCTTGCGCACACCGTCAAGATAAGGCTATGCACATCACGTAAAGAATAGTCGTGACTGTCTCCCCGGAGTGCTCCGGTATCAGACCAAGCCGGACTATGATGTTTCAAAGTTGACAAAACCAATCGTATTCATTGGGTCCGCGGAGAATCCTCACGACACTACTAAGTAGTTAGGCATGATCTAAGTCAAGCCAGAGAGGGCGGTACGAATGGGGTGCAAGGACTCGGATGGTGCATGGCGCCAGTGAAACTTTGAATCTAGCAGTGGAGGCACTTCTGGCCGAATTGACTCAGGTGTCGAAGTGTCAGGTGAGCGCCAATCTAGATCTTGGCCGACTCGCTGGTAGTTGGCTTCAGACCGCAGCGAGTTCAGCCAAGAAACTGATCTGTCAGTTTTGTCGGCCCGAGTAAGCATTTCGACATGCGAGGAGATTGTCGATCTCCAGCGGCAGCCAATTCAGGTCAACGGCAGTTTCTTCTGCATCTGCTCCGGGGGAATGTGCATATGTAGGGGATTCCGTTGCTTTTACCCTCTAAGGACATAAACCAGGTGGGAAGCTACCCACCGCCACCATCATGGGTGGCACCGGCGTGCCTACCTTCGAGCCCAAAATGCGGTGGGCATTCCTGCAGCCACTGCCGCGACATGGATGCTACCTGTATTGTCTCCCCGCACCAGGTATCTTGAAAATCCTCCTAGGAACTAAAGAAGCTGGTAGAATTTGCTCTTCGTAGCCAATCTTTGCAGATCATCGGTCTCGAACTACCCGTCTTGGGGTGCCCTGACTCCGCGCGCGTTTTCTGCGGCGCAACCGGCCCACCCTAGACCAAGCGTAGGCCCCAAGAACTTTTATGTCTTGAGCAGGAACCAGATGAGCAATTCTGGACCTGGATTATCCGTCTCTCGCTTCAACCCTCGTTTACATCTCAGGATCTGTCTAACCTCTGATTATCCCTGATGGCGAGCATGATTGAGGCTATCCAAGCCCGTTTGGCCGATGACGAGCATTTGCTCGCACAGCCCATGATCGTGGCAGGAGCTCTCTTCTTCTTGCTGGTGGTCTTCCAGTTGCGCCGAGCTGGAGGCTCGAAAGCCTTCCCCTCTCCCCGACTGGGATATCCTCTAGTCGGCGATGCATTGGCCTTTCTGAATCGCCCGGTCGCCTTCGTGCAAGACGCGACACGCAAGTGTGGCCCCATCTTTCATGTCAAGATATTGTTTGCCAACATTGTCTACTTGAGAGGTACCCAGCTCAATCGTATGTACGTGGATGTCAAGGAGGACATCTGGTCGTTTGGTGGCGGAATTGTAGGCATTAGTTCCCTCTCTCCATTCTCTCCACCGTAAAAGAGGGAACAAACTTCTGACATTGTACAGGGCATATTCTTGAAGAAGATTGCCATCCCTGGGTATTTTGACCATTTCCGCAATCTCGTGGGCTCGCTGAATCGCGGCATCAATCGCAAGGTGACCCTGGATCGTTACACCGAGCTTGCAGGCGAGGAGGCCGATAAGGCACTGCTCAAATGGAGCCAGCAATCGGACGTCAAAGTGTTCGAAGAGGCGTCCAAGTATGTCCACCGTGTGATTGTACGGACTCTCATGGGACAGGACTTCTACGATGAACACATAGACGAGCTCTACGATCTCCTGCACCGGATGGAGGACGAGATAGGCCACCCACTGAATCTTTTACTGCCGGACTGGTTTCCTCACCCTCCAGCACGACGACTGGGCAAGGCCAGAGATCGCTTCGCCGAGATATTTGCCCAGCAGATGGCGATCCGTCGCCAGAACCCTGAAAAATGGAAGGGTTCGCTGGACTATATCACCTATACATTGGAAGATCCGCGGACGGCCCATCTGCAAGAATACTATCCGTCGCACCATACAGTGCTCATGTTCGCCGCTCACACGAGCACTGTGGCTAGCATTGCCTGGACCGCCATGGAGGTCTGTTTGTTCCTTGCCGGATATATTTACCCTCTCCTAGCCCACTAGTATCACCGAACTGACACTATTCGCAGCTTATCCGGAACCCAGAGTATGTGGAGGCCATTCGGCAGTCATTCCAAACGAATGAGGACGTTCACCAGTCTCCCGTGCTACTGGCATGCGTCAAGGAGAGTGGCCGCCACTACTCGGGTGTGCACATGTGGCGTACAACCCACCGCCCTGTACAGCTGGAGGATGGCTACACGGTCCCCGAAAACTGGGTAGTATGCACCTCGCCTTATCTCACCCACCATGACCCCGAGATTTATGAGCAGCCGCAGCAGTGGCTGCCGGAGCGGTGGCTGCGTCCAACGGCGCGTTTACAGAACCTTAATAATGCCACCGACGCGGCGTTCCTGCAATTCGGCGCGGGCTCCCACCGGTGCCCGGGGGAGAATATGGCTGGCATCATCGCGCGCGAACTGGTGTCGCGCCTGGTCAAGAACTACGATTTCCAATGGGGAAGCCAGGGGCCGGCCAAAATCGATGTCTCCAATATGGACTTCAGCAAAGTCGGCAGTCCATGGCTGCAAGGCGATGCGCTTATTCGGATCCAGCCCCGGAAATCTGCGGCTATGTGAACGAATTAGTGTTGAGGGGGAGGAATAAGGGGGACACTGGCAGATTGAATGCTATGGTGATACGTCATTCAGGTTTAGACATTTTCGTTATTTAGACAAAGAATCGAATATGGATTTAGCTCCTACTGAAGTATTCAACCATGCGTAAGAGAGTCCTCTAATGTCCCTGCTTTGCATTGTCGACGCTGGTGCTGGTTCTGGTGCTGGTGCTAAACTGAAACACTATCAAGACTGAAGCGCTTCTCGTCACACTTGACACAAGTGTCATAGTAAGGGATGGTGATAACAATGGCCCTTACCACCCTTAGGCTAGTGTGTTAGAGGGCTTAGAGCTTACTTTGATAATTGAATGTCACGTGAACCTTAGATAGAACGTACCCGCCACCGCTAGTTTGGAGCCTGTATAGCTGAATCTCTCGCTGTTCTTCTCCAGTCAACGGATGCAAGGCACGACAATCGAAGGACATGGATTCACCCCTTCTGGTAGCTACAGTGCGGATCGCCATTGCCCTCCATAGCCTGCAGAGAGTGGCAGAAATACCAGGTCTGCATGCAAACAACGAAGATAAGGAGGGCCTCGAAAGGGAGGTCGCCTCTGGGTTCTGCGGCCATCTGCACCTGTCTCGCCGTCGCATTACGAAGTCTACAAGAACAGGAAACAGTACAAACTTGCCGAACTTGAAAGGACATTGTGAGTGATACTTAAGAAGTACCGGCAGATTGCAATGAACAAAACCCGGACTCCTTTTTCACCCAAAGCCCAATCAAGCGGTTGCTGAGCTTCTTCCCCTTGGCTTATCATCTGGGCTCTCTCACCACCACCTGTTCTATCCATCTTTATTGCCTCGAGAATATCTCTCAGTTCTTTACTTCCTGCTATTTGTTATTCTCCCTCTCCCCTTTCTCCAGACATCGTTGCACAATGGTTCCCAAGGCCGATGTTCAGGTCCTGATCGTTGGCGGCGGTATTGCTGGGTTGACACTGGCCAATATCTGTAAGAAAATTGGGCTCAGCTACAAGGTACTCGAGCGCACGGCCGAGGTAACCCCCGTGGGTGCGGGCATCTCGCTGGCCCCGAATGCCCTCCGGTTACTTGACCAACTCGGCTTCATGGACATCATTCGGAAGGAAGGCCAGCCGCTACGAAAAATCCAGGTCTACCGCAACACGACCCGATGGAGTCTACTTGACTTTGAATGGCTCGAGCCAACATATGGCTATTCAATGTACTCGATGCCGCGACACAGCATGCACCGCGCCTTGTACCATCGGGCGGATCCGGAGCACGTCATCCTGGGGGCTGAAGTTGTTGGCATCGAGGATGAGCCCAATTCGCCAACAGTCAAGGTTCGTCTGGCCGATGGCCGCGAGTTCAGCGGTGAGGTGCTCGTGGGAGCCGATGGCATCCGGTCGATCGTACGGCGGCTCCTTGCCGACAAGCAAGGGCTGGCAGGCGTCAACACCATCCGGTTCACCGGACGCACCCACATGACGGGCATCTCGTATCCGCTGGAGCATCTCGGGCCTAACGATCTCGGCGTGGCAACCTGGGTTTTCTACGATGACTGTATCCTCACCTCTTGGCCGTGCACTGAAAATCGTCAATGGTTTGTCGGTGTCAAGGTCCGTCACTCCCTTGCAACCTCCTCCACCACCTCCTCCTTCCTTCTTCGCCTGACTCTGTCTCACTTGTCACCAATGGACTCAAAACTAATGAGCGTAATTGCTGGATTAGTCCTCCGAAGCCAAGACCACGACACGATCCACCTGGAAAGGTGCCACTAAGGAAATGATCAACGAAAGTTACGGACACCGCTTCCATCCGTTTGGCAAGAATTACACCGTACGCGATGGCATGTCTCACTCATTTCTTTGCTTCCCCTCCCCCTTCTTTCTACCTCCTCTTCCCCCTTTCTTCCCAAAAATATTCTGACTGACTCGCTCTCACCTGCAGTGGTCGATGTGGCGGAACGCGTGACGGCGAGTGATGTTTTTGAAGAAACTGCTTTTCCCAAGATGGCCCATGGCCGCGTGGCCCTGGTGGGAGACTGTAAGGAGTCAACTCGATTCTCACAAGCGAAACGCAAATTAATATGAGTGGGCCGGAGACTAACGCAACATTTTCTTATTTAGCGGCGCACTCCATGACATCGTTCATTGGTCAGGTAAATTTTCATTTCCTCCGAGGCAATTCCTTCCGCCAGGGGGAGGGGTAACGGAGACACACCGGCTAACCAGAATTCCACTCTGCAGGGCGCTTGCCAGGCGATTGAAGACGTGGGGGAATTGGCCAACATGCTGCACACCTACTTCGCCGGCCAGTCGGGCAATCCGCAGGTGCTGCGGGATTTGTTGACGGACTTCCGCAAGAGTCGAGAGCCACGGGCACGCAACCTCGTGTACTATTCAAGTATCTTCGCACAGGTGCATACAGGGCGCCTCCCGTACGGATTGGGGCCACTGGCACGCCGGCTTGCCTTCTCCTATGCCCCTGTCTGGTGTTGGAAATGGGCTTGCAATCCGCTGTACGGCTACCAGCCGCGCGTACACGCGTTGGACCTGTTGTCGCGGTAGACCTATGTCTTTTGAACTTCTATAGAAAGCATAATATAGCAATCGCATTTTGGTCTATATACTCTCATCCTCTTCAGTATATCCATTATATATCCCTTTCTGCAAATTTTCGCGTCTATCGAATCAAAATTTGTTCCTGATTATTCCAAGTGTTACTTTTTTTTCTTTCTCATTTGCTGGTAATGTTTTCCTTTTCCCGGTGGTGGGGAAGGCTGGGAGAAACTTCTGGCAGGATGCTAAACCCACGTGCTGCTATTCGTGGGAATTTCGAGCAAGGGGCATGCAAGGGAGCAAGCCTACAAGAATGGTTCAATGGTTTACACCTGAACGATAGTATATGCTGACCGGACTGATGGTGTGAGATGCTGAGGAGATCGAGGAGGGTACTTGTGAAAGAACAAGAGTTACAGTAGCAAGCTATAGGCCTAAACTGCTTTCTGTTCAAGCCTGTCTGTAGTGAAGAGATAGCCACTGGATCTAGCATTTAAATAGTGATCTTCTTGGTCTTCCTAGTAGTATATATTCCTATGTGTGAGGGATATGTTATTTCCTATTGGCTCACTTGCGGAGTCAGCTTATAAGATATCTTGACTTCAGTTGAAGAAGTGCCTATACAGTGGTTGAATGTATCCAACATAACGCAAGCCCAAAGGATTGTGGATGCTGATATTTATTTAATACTGGTAAATAGAAGGAAGCCTTCTATGATCTAGTGTATCTTATAGGTCTATGTTGACTCAAGCACCAGGAGAAAGTTGATTTAGAGTTAGATCCAGAATATTTATATCGTACGGATAGTCTTGAAATATATAATCACTGTGATATGTCCCTTGATGAGTTTAACAGATTATATATAGGTATTTCTTGACTGGTATTTATAACACATTTAATAATGCTTCCAGAGAATTTGAGGGATAGTAATCCATTTATTAGTTGAGTGAAGGTTGGGGTCGTGTGAAGCTCAAACAAACTTCTTGGATGCTGTATTTAGAGTTTTCGGCTCTACCCAAAATCCCTGGGAAGTCTTAGTTTGGAGAATCTAAACACGATCCTTCTATCTTTTAGTTGATTCTCAACGGCATTTAACAAAGTTGTGCAGATTTGACAGTGTCTACGACGAACAGCATACCAGGGTCCTCGAATGGCTGCCTCACGATATCACGGTGGGCCTATTTCTTCTACAACTAAGCTACATGATGCAATGAAAAACAACGATAAGAGGATACTATACGTTAACTCCATGACTTTCTACATAGTGTTTCCGATCTGAAAGATGAAGCAAGAATTAACTCTACACGAAATTCCATTGCATCTATCATTAGTATTATTATAAAGTGTCATATTGTGTAACTGGAATCATTCCCCGCAAAGGTTACTTTTCCAAGGCAATGGGCTTAGGTTGCAAACCGACTGCGACTTCGCAATGCCGGTCCAAACCAGTAGAGCACCAGCACTCCCGCGATGCAACCTACTGTCAGACCAGCCAGCAAGGTCGTGCCCCGCGCCACTCCCAGTCGAGCATACAACGGGCCGGACCACAGAATGGCTGCAAAGGCCAGACTGGCACGCGCCAGATCATTGATGGCAAACAGACTAGCGCTGTACTTCGGATACGCTACGGACAGGTAGCTGAAAATACACTGCAGCACCAGCGTCATGCCAGATACCTCGATCACCAAGCCGATGGTAGGTACAATCCAGTGGATGCTAGCCCGCGAGGTCCAGGCGAACAGAAAGAGTCCCACGGGGATGAACACGCTGCCGACAATGGCGGGGATAAGCCGGTGCTCAGGATGGGGGAATTGACCGCGCCGGAAGGCCTTGTTCAGCGAGATATGCACAAAGGCATAGTAAAAGGGAAGCGTGAGCAGCGTGCCGATCACACAGCCGAGGAAGATCAGCCCCAGCTCGCCCAGGCTCATGTGGTAGATGTCCAGGTATACCAGCGGTAGCACCTCGAAGTAGGAGTAGAAGATGGCGTACACTAACCCAATATAGACCGTCGTGAAGAGCACGGACGGGTCTAGGGCATTGACTTTCCATGGAATCACCAGCGCAGCATAGGCGACCTGCATGGGACTCTCGTTCTGCGACTCAATCTCCGACCGCGACCGGATGGCCGTGTTGCCCGTTAACTGACGCAACCGCTTGGCCCGCAGATGTAAGATGGCCGGTGCAGATGTTTCAGGGAGGAAAATCTGGTTTCAACAAGAGAAGGAAAAGGAGACGATGGTCAGCACAAGAGGTTGTCCGCTAATGATAATCATGGCCACCATTCGCCATGAGAGAAGTAGTAGCGAGCACTTACCAGGGCGACAAAGCACAGCGCGGCTGCCCATAGGATCTCCCACATGGACCAGTGCCAGCCCTTTACGGGAACACTGAACCCCGAGATTGTCGGCGCAATGGCGGGACCAGCAATGGAGCATGCTCCCCAGATGTATAGACCGTAAGGGAGGTTCGGGATTGAGGTCACATCCGCCAGGGATGCACCTCCCGTGGCCAGTCCGGGGGAGCCGAAGAAGCCTTGCAAGTAACGCAGGATCAGGAACCCTGGCACGTTGTTGACCAGGGCTGTGGGGATGGCGAGGATCAGGAAGATGGTGATGGAGATCACATACGGTGGGTTGCGACCCACAGAGGGCACTTCGGACATAGGACTCCAGATCATTGGGCCCATGCCGTAGCCCAGCACATACAGAGCCAGCCCCAGGGCGCTAATGGTTTGCGTCACCCCGAAGATAGTCTCGAATTCTCCCTCGGCCGAAGAGAAGATGGCAGCAGCCATGAAGACCAGAAAGGTGAACAGATTCACTTCGACATACACCAACAACTTGGCCGCGAAAGACCAGTTGTGTGGATTGTCCGGGTCATCGGAGGAGTACCAATCCACCACAATGGTCCCGTCCGGCGTCACCTCGGGATCAATCCACGACGATGATGACTGCGCCGATGATTCGGGCGGCGTTGGGAGGGCAACCCCTTGAATCCCATCAACTTCCTTGCACTCCTCGTCGGGGGGTAGCGCATGGCTAAACAACGTACTTCCATCCGCATCCGAGGTGTTCTTCTTCTCCTGTGACGGCTGGACTGGCCGGTTGTTGACTGCCTGCTGGTATGGCGCAGGCAGCGTGAAGTTGGCGCTGAGTTCGCGCGGCTTGAATAGACGGCCCCCAGATACGAGGTAGACGATTCTGCCAAAGGCCGAGTTGGCGAATAGATGTGGCATGGCCGTTGCAGTGTTGATGCTTGGACAGAGCAAATGAAGCAAAAGAGCCCACAAGGAGGGCCTCACCTCTGTATGTACTTCACTGGCAAATTTGGGGGAATAAGGGAGAAAAGGGGCTGGCAGGGAGCTTGAGAAGCTTCAGACCGCTTCCTCCCAATTTCCTTCCCTCTCAACTTCAGCCCTAGAAGGAATGCAAGGGGGAGGCGTTTCCATGGCCGCAAAGCTAGTCCTGTTTCCGAGGAATGCCAGCAACGATCGTCAAGGTTCCATGGTTGCATCGCCGGACAGGGATGAAACCGGGATGCCACCGTGTCTCCCGGTTGGCGTTTCCACTCCCCCTTCCCCATAAAAAAGGATGAGCTCATGGCGATGCAAGCCCTACTATACGCAGGCAATGCAATCACCGGAAATGGCAGTCCTCTCCCGGGGGCTGGGACGGGATAGTGAAATAAGCATTCATATTCTCCATATCCCTTCCGGCCAAATCTCCTTGTTTATATGGGCAACATTGATTGTGACAGCAAGTGTTAAAGCATGACTTCTCTTCCTCCAGCCCAATGCTGCATCGCTGGCCATCTGCACAGTGGCACTCCCAAGGGGGAATTGAAGAAAATAGATGACAGTAAGGCACTTCCTTGCACCATCCTGATATCCTCTAGGTCGCATCCTAATGTACATGCTTCCTGCACCAGTCCTCACCTACGTGTCTTACCCTCCCAACAAATCAACTCAGAATGCCATCCTATTTCTCTCCGACATCTTCGGCCCCAAACTGGTTAATTCCCAGCTGATTGCCGACCAATTTGCCGCCAATGGCTACTTCGTGGTCCTGCCCGACCTGTTTCATGGCGATCCGGTCCCCGTCGAGCGCGAGGGGAATTTCGACGTCATGGCCTGGCTGCAGAACCACCTCCCGCCCGTGACAGACCCAGTCATTGACAGAACCATTCGATACATGCGCCAGGAACAGGGCTGTCAGCGCATTGGAGGGGTTGGATACTGCTATGGGGGCAAGTACGTCGCTCGTTACCTCAAACCCGGTCTGTTGGACGTAGGCTATATGGCCCATCCCACCCATGTGGAGGTGGATGAGTTGAAAGGTATTCAGGGCCCATTGAGCATTTCTGCCGCATGTAAGTTGTATGATTGAATGTTCGGCCAAAAAGATAGAGACTGATTTCTCATAGCGTCGGATTATCTCTTCCCGACCGAGAAGCGTCGCGAGAGCGAAGATATCTTGTCCGAGCTGGGCCACCCTTACGAGATAACAGTGTATTCTCATGTCGAGCATGGATATGCTGTTCGCTGTAACATGGATATTAAGCAGCAGAGAGTGGCTAAGGAGAAGAGTTTCGCCCAGGCAGTTGGCTGGTTTGATGCTTATTTGAAGGAGTGAGCACGATGCCAGGAACCGAAGGATAAGAGAACAATGGACTTCTGTATCTATTCTTCTGCAGCAAGCAGACCCGATAAATCTCTATCAGATAAGACGCAAGCGCGTTGTAAACCTATGTACATGTTTGAAAGAGCATCTCCCGGCCGATGTCATTCTTCAGGCCGCCGCCAAGAGATCGTTTGGGATATACAACGGCATAGTGTCCTCCCATCGACTCTGCGTCAGCACTGTCCAGTTCGATCCATCCGCCTCCATCTGCATGATAAAAGGGTACGGTTGCTGATTGTTGTCGTAGATGGTCGCCTCGTCCTGGAAGCCGAACATGCCCGTCGCCCAGGCAATCTTGCCCTCGTGGGTCCAGACAGCGTGGGCATCATTGCACGCCAATTTTGTCAGCTGCCTCACATCACTGCCGTCCACGGCCATGGTCATGACATCGTAGTTGTCATCCAACGGTCCGGAGATGGGCCAGCTGGTGCGACGGGTGAACACAATACGGTTGGAGCCATCGGGAGCGAACATGGGAGTGTTGTCCCAGGAAGAGCTGAGGGCCACCACGTCGCCCGTCGTCAAGTCCATGCGGCGCAGACCTAGCGGGATGGGATCCTCACTGGCGCTGTAGGCGAACTCACGCCAGACCAGCCAGCGGCCATCGGGCGAGATGGTGGGGAAGCCGGCGTTGGTGCTGCCGTTGGTCATGGATCGCGCCCACGAGCCGTTGGCAGCCACCAGGTACACCCAGCCTGGGTTGGCATAGCGATACTCGAACCAGTCACCCAGACCGACAGCCAGGACTTCGCCATCGCCGCGCCACGAGCCCTGGAAGGTGCCGTTGGTATTGGAGCTGTTGACGCGGACGGGAAAGCGGGAGCCATCGAAGATGTCATTCGAGCCGGTGCCGTCAGCGTTCATGGTCACCAGCGAGGAGTTCACCGTCTGCTGTGAGGTGTAGACCACCTTGCCCTGGGCGGACATTTGGGGGAATACGTCGCTGAAGCGGTACTCCCAGTCCTTGCTCCAGCTGTACAGCGGCTTGTTAATGGGCCGGACGGGGTCCCACTCCACGTGCTCATAGACCATATGGCCGCCATCGGGGGACCAAGCGGGCGAGCGATGATAGCCCACGAGCGAGGCGTTGCGGTAGGCGGCACTCACGCTACCCTGGGGCTGCGCGGCTGTGTAGTTGATAGAGCCCGGGTAGGTAGCATTGGTGAGCAGGCTCTTGACCAGATAACCAATGGTCTGGTTGTCAACATACTGAGGAAACAGTTTGATGCCGCCGGACTCTCCCGATGCATGCACCTGCCGGTCAGTCCCCGTGGCAAAGTCCACAGACACGATGGCAGTATTGACATCGTAGAAAGCGGGTTCGGCCACGCGCGCATAGTAGGTGAGCTCCATGGGGAGTTCATAGAAGACGATGCGGTTGCCATCGGGCGAGAATTTAGGCGAACCCTGACAGTACCCTGTGCGGTTGGCCACCCGACGGAAGCCAGTGCCGTCCGGACGGATGGCATAGATGGACAACTCCTGCGTGTGCTCCCAGCCGCTGATGTTGTTATGCCCTCGCCATGGAGTGTTGCGATCCGAGGTGAAGACCAGCCACTCGCCATCAGGCGACCAAGCAGGCCGGAAGTGGCCATCGGGGAGGGTGTAATCACCTGCGACCTCGGTGGAGTTGGTGACATTCCACAATGCGCCAGTGTCCAGATTCTGGATCCAGATGTTGCTCTTGTAATTACCGAGGGTGCCAGCAAAGGCCACAAGACTGCCATTGGGGGAGATGGCTCCGGCATCCTCCACAGCAGGGCTCGTGGCAATGGGCTGCAAGTCGGTGCCATTGGGACGGACACGGTACAAATCCGACTGACCGTCTCCAGCACGCTCGCTGGTGAAGACAATCCATTCGCCGTCTGGAGACCATTGCGCATGGTAGTCAAAGGTGCTCTCATTGCCCAGCAGCAGCCGGGGGTTGGAGCCGTCCGCATTGGCGACGTAGAGCTCCGAGATGCCCGGTGCAATGCGATTCATCAGCATCGCCCCCTTCTTTCCGGCAACAGGAGTGCCGCGGGCTCCCAGACTTGACGGCGGCTCATCCGAGCGCGCCATATTGGCGTATGGACATGATCCTGCTGCAGCAAGCCCGCTCAGGAGAGGGAAAAAAAGAAGAGAGGAGAAACGCATCCTGATGCGGTGCCAACTTGGAGGCGACAACGGCGAACTATGTTGATGCAGGAACCACGACTTCCAGAGAATTGGGCAGATGGGCGTGGCCCTACTTAAGCTTCACGCTGCTGTGGAGCGTCTCATGGCGAGAGCATTGATCGATAGGCGTTGGGGCTTGCTCGGAAGAAGACCTCGGGCTTCGCAATAGCCTTCCCAATGAGGTAGGGAATGTCGCTGATGAGTTTGTCGAAGTTGGGCTCCCGTTATTGGCCTTCGGCTACACATGCCGATCACTCCACGGCCCAGACGGGATGGATATGCTTAGCACCGCTTGGACATCCCCTTCCACGCTTCAGCTTTGAGGGATTAGCATTGCCTGCTCCACTCAGGGCAGACCGTGGTTGGATCCCGCGATGCTGCCAAGGAGGAGTGAGAGGAGTAATCCGGATCATCGCCGGAGATAGATTGGGAGAAAAGAGATGGCACCTGTAGGAACCTCTCTTCGGGCAGGGTTTTCACCACTCACAGGATACTCTTCTGGTTTTGGACTTACGTGTTGCACGATACTGGGTTTAAGGGAAGGACGGCCTGGATGTATCGCCTCCTTGAGGTATACACCACTCTCACACGAGTGAAGCTTCTTCTATCATGCTTATGGGTGGTCTCCGAAAGGATGGGCTTGGCACACAGGATGCCACGACTAGACTGTCTCTGGCCTAATCGCCGCTGAGACTCGGTATCTGTATAGTATCTCCGACATCATTCAAAAGCCTGGTTCGGAGATTGTTGGAATGGGGATTCTGGCCGGCGGTCTTGGCAGCGAAGGATTTCTCCGCGAGTCTCCGCATCTTTTCGTTTGGCTTGGAGAGGCAATTGAGTTCTGGGAGAAAGTGGACGGTTTGCTGGCTCATTCTGTGGTTTCTTCATGGCTTGAGGTTCTTCTCTCCTTCTTACTGAGTTTAGATAGGGTTTTAAACCATGAGGAGTCTTGGATGGGATTTAAACTATGGAACGAGATCCGGACGCAGTGCCATCTGCTCAATGACTCGCTACACAGGGCCCTGACGTGTCCAAAGCGCCACACCGTAATCCCGAGGACAAGACAGAGAGTCCGGCTGCCGAACCAGGGACCAGGGAATTGTCTCCGCCTATTATTGCTATTCCTAGCGGGGTGTGGAATGTGAAGAAAGATTGGCTTGAGACTGTTCGGACCGCTCCCGTTCGGCCCTCATAGGCGCGGTGTTTTCTTCACCCGAATCGTTGTGTATTGCTTACTCTACTCCGTAGGTCTGTGCGAGGTCAAATTGCAGCACAACAGGGAAGTGGCGCCTGGCCAATCCCCGTGGGTGAGATTGGAAAGAGAGAGAAAGGGAGACTCGTCTGATTGAAGAACGAGGGTCCCTCTCCGTTCCGGACTTAATCCGATCCCCTCCAAAAACCCAGTCTCTTCGAAGAAAGTTGATCATCCTCCCCCTGCTCCACTCCACCCGATCCGCACCAAATAAAAATGCAGGGAAATCCCACGCTTGCACGCACAAGCGCCAGACACAAATTAAAAGACGAGCCGATCGCTTCCCGATAAGCCTGGGGCGGTGGAGAATTCCAAGCAGGGGAGAAAGTTCAACTTCTTTGCCAAGCCCCTCCTCTCCTCGGGGTTGGAGATTCGATCAGATGGTAAATCCGAGGGACTCAATTGTCCCTGGCTGTTAGGGATGCTGCTAGTGAGGCATGGTCCCCGGAATTAAATATATGAGACGGAAATCTAATCCTTAGTCCGAAATCATCCACGTCGAGGAGAGGCCGGGTTGGCACATTGAGAGGGGCGTCAGTCTTCACAAGTCCCCAAGTACGCTTATTTCAAAACCTTGCTGCCATATCTTTTCTTCATCATCATCACCTATTTTATTGTTTGTGTTTGATTTCCTCTTCCTTACCTTGTCTTGTCTTTTTAAAGTGGAAAAAGAGAATATAAAGAGAGAGACGTAGTATATGTACGAATGTGAGCAGGAACACGTACTATTTGTTGAAGCTAGGAATTACTCGGAAGACCGTAGACGAGGCGCTGGACAGCTTTGTCTTAACAGTCCATGTCATCGCATCTTTAAAAGTTGGTGTTCTTCTAGTGCGCTTTGAGGGGTAGGAGTTACACTCTGGATGTACCTGACATGGTGTATTGCAGTGCCTTGCAGAATCAGGCGGATAGAGATGCGTGAGAGTCCCTCGGTATCCCGCATCGCGCTGGGACCATGTATTCGGTATCTTTGGAGTATGATTGTGGAATGCAACCCGAGATAGTTCTAGAACCCCTGACGCGTGGAATGCCTGCACCTTAAGGAAAAGGATGCAATACAGGCCCAGATGTGTAAGCCCATGTGCCGCCACAGCAGCCGATGCAATGACTGCCACACTGCGAACCGTCTCGATGAGTCGCCCCCTTCCATCCTGTTCAGGTCAGAATGCTCAATGAATCGAGTAGCCAGGTTATATTTCCAGCATTTGTACCATTCATACTGCTACTGGATTTTGGTAAAGGGATGGAGAGACCGGCTCCCCCCGAGCCACCAGCAGCGTCCGCAAAGATAAGAGCTGCGCTAGTGTACATCATACTACTAGTAGTAAATAATACAGATATTATGTGTTTGGGTGAAGAAGAAAGCAGTAAAGGTAGAGGTAAAACTGCACAGTGGCAGAGCTGGGGTAATTAATTAGGGCCTTAATATAGAGCAGAGCCCACCAGTGACATGGGACTATTATTGAGCTTGAGTCATGTCCACGATCGTGACTCGTGCAAGGGTCGGAAACAAGATTCCTCCACATTCATTGCCATCCGGTCAGAGCGTCCAAGTTCAATCTCGGCGACGGAGGGTTATGGCCATGGAAATCAAGGCCGATGACCAAACGAATGAGCCAATCTATCGTATCAGAGTCTCTACAGGGAGTACAAAAAGAAGGTAATGGATCCGACGAAGATAGAGTATGCTGATAGAGAGGAGATCTACCAGCTCCCGCCGAAGGACGGACGGGAAAGCAACAACCACGCAATTACTGCTTAGTAGCATTGCCGAGGGGAATGCGCCGACCAATGCAATCAAGCATTAGAATATTATAAACCTAGAAAGAGTGGATAGATGGGGCGAAGCAACCTGACAGGCTGAAGAGGACGAAAGATCGACGCATTTCTCCGAGATCTTATCTTCCCCGCACTTCTCATGCCCCCCGGATTTTCATCTGCATCCATTCCCACACCCCCTTCGCCCCAACCCTTCCTTCCACGTAGATCGCACAGCGTGGGGGATGAAGTTTAACCTCAGTATCCTCGGCTATCGACAGGAGGATGTTGAATCAATACCAACCAGTATCATGACGCCATGTCACGGCAAGATTAATGAAGCCACTGACTGCTCTCCCCAACAGCTGTCGAATGTAACGTAACCATCGAGTTGCCACCCTCGTCATCTACTTCTAAGCCCTGGGGCAAAGGCACCAAATGCAGCCTTGTTGGATGCAGCAATAACCCCCACGATGGCACCCCACCCCCGCGCTGTCGACTTGGGGTAAATCTTCCGCTTCTTATAAGAGCCTGCGTGCCCATCCCTTCCCGCTTCAGCTTGGCCGATATATCTTTACTGACACCACAATGACTGACTCAATTGCAAGGAAGCCCTACTTTGGGCTCGTCGGAGGATGGCTGACTTTTTGGATTACGGTACAAGTCCGGGGGTGCAACGAGCCTGTGCCAAGTACTGACTGTCTAGGTTGCTTGTGCTACGGACATGACCCTGTTCGGGTATGACCAGGGGGTCTTCAGTACGTCTTCCCGGCAATTAAATTCCAGATCTCACGATCTGATGCGTGGCAGGTGGGGTGGTCGTCACCCAGAACTTTCTCGAGGTCCACGATCTGGTCGGACCGTCTAAAACCTCAACCCTGTCCACCGTCACAGCCATCTACGATGTCGGCTGCTTTCTCGGGGCTCTTTGCGCCTTTGCTATCTCGGAACAGCTCGGTCGGAAAAAGTCGATTTTGATTGGGACCGCTATTATGGCGGTCGGCACCATCTTGCAGGCGAGCTCGTATCATCTCGCTCAGATGTTTGTCGGCCGAATCATTCTAGGGTCAGAGCTAACATGCCCCTTGTACGGCGTTCGCTGACAATTGCAGAATTGGAAACGGGATAAACACGGCCACAGCTCCCATATGGCAGACTGAGACAGCGCAGGTCTCCTGGCGAGGCCGACTGGTCATTCTGGAGATGGCCTTGAATGTTGGAGGCTTCATGCTCGTCAACTGGATCAACTACGGGCTTTCCTTCCACGGCGGGGCTCTGGCCTGGCGACTCCCTATTGCCCTTCAGTTTGTGTTCATCGTTGTTCTTGCTGTCACTGTTCCCTGGCTGCCTGAGTCTCCCCGGTATGTGCGCGCCATGAATACTCCTTGGTCTGAATAGGCTGACATGACCAGATGGTTGCTATGCCACGGCCGCACGGACGAAGCATTACACGTCATTTCCAGCATTGAGGCGAAGCCGAAAGACGATCCCTATGTGGCAACCCAGCACCGCGAGATTGTCTATAGTATCCAGTACGAGCGAGAAAATGCGGTGCCCTGGCGGGATTTGTTGACTGGTCGATCTGCCAATGATACAAAAACCCTGCGAAGGTTGCTTCTGGGAGCTGGCTCACAGGCGCTGCAACAATTTCAGGGTATGAGCTTTGTTTTGATTCGATCTCTTCGAAAGTTCCAAACTAACTGGCACCGTAGGAATCAATATTATGTCGTACTATCTCCCGCTGGTGCTCATCAACTCGGTCGGACTTTCCAACAGCATGTCGCGACTGCTCAGCGCATGCAATGCGACGGTGTATTTCGTGTTTGCCAGCGTGGCCGTAACGATGGTCGAACGATTTGGCCGACGCGGGCTCATGCTGCTCTCCACCTTCGGCCAGTTCGTCTGCTTTTTGATCATCACCATTCTGCTCCGCTTTGCCGAGATAGACTCCCGTTACGCGACTGCCTCGGTCGCGTTCTTCTTTTTGTACTATATCGCGTTCGGCATTGGGATGCTGGGGGTGCCCTGGCTATATCCGACCGAGATCAACTCGCTGCCCATGCGAACCAAGGGTGCAGCCGTGTCGACAGCGACAAACTGGTAGGTGCAGCTTGCAGTGGGCGCGGACTATTCGAGGTGGCTAAGCATGCGATTAGGATCACCAATTTTGCCATCGTTGAAATCACCCCCATCGGTATCCAGCAGATTGGCTGGCGATTCTGGATCGTGTGGACAGTCACCAACGCGGCCTGTCTGCCCATCTTCTACTTCTTCTATCCCGAGACTGGTGAGTCGATCACATACCTCTGGATGATCTCTTACTGACTTGATATAGCAAATCGGACGCTGGAAGATGTGGACGACTACTATCGCTCTAACCCACCATTGCTGGTTACGCGGGATCCAGACGCAGTGTCCACGCAGCGCCCCTGGCGATACCGGCAGCGCGAGGAGGCAGAATACCAGCGACAGAAGGATGCCCAAGTAGGTACAGATGCGTCAAAGGACAGCAGCGCGGCCTCGGTGAGCCACGTGGAGTGAGGTATTCTGTCTGGATGACTATGGTGAGGGAGAAAGGAGGGATAAAGGAAGGGATCGTCGGCGCGAAGAATGGGGATGGGAGATCATCGATAAATACGGAGTAGATGGCCCAAGATACTGCTCGATTAGTAGAGAATTCCGCACGACAGTGTTAACTCGAGACAGGTGATAGATTAATCGCCGTAATAGTGTGGGCCTTCCTTTCTATTTCGGAGTCCAAATGGGCGCCGGCTGTCAATAGCTTCATCGGGATCTGGTGCCCTCTGCCTGTGGAAGCTCTGACGAACTGTTGGACGGGAGACCGAGCAGACGAGACCTCCACGTGGTGCCTATTATAATCCTCGAGATCATCCTTCTCTTTCCCCCCTGATAATGATAATTATACACTAATTTTAACTGTCCTCACGGATGAACCGGAGTGCCGGGCTTGGGGTTGGCGGCGAGTGTTTGGTAGCGAGGGCCGCTAGCATCGATCTCGCCCGCATTGACTGCTTCATGCTCCCATCGCATTGGTTCCAGCCCCAAGACACCGAGTCAGGGTCAATCTCGCATATTTCCTAGTGGGCCTGCCCAGAGTCATGGAGGCCCCAACCCATGCAGCTGGAGTGCGACCGAGAGTCAGGAACGCTGCTCCTGGGCCCAAACAGCTCCACTGGTTCGCTACGACGCTTCTACCATCATGGCCAGCTTCGCGCACATCAACAGCCGGACCCGCGTGGCTGAAACAGCAGCTTTTTCCAGCTTCTATCTAGCCGGGCCCACGAGCCAAATGCCCACCGCAATGAAAAGTCGCGACATTCCCTGAGTGCACCGCGACACTTTTTGACTCCTTCCCTGTCCCCGAGTTGCATCCACCAACATCTCGCGTGGTTCAGCATGAGTGAGTCGCTGCCCTTGGTGGGCCGCAGTCTCGCCATCTTCGTCGTCGCGGCGGTGATGATGGGGATAGGCACAGTTGCAGTGGCTTTGCGCACGTTTGTCCGTGTACACTTGGTGCGGGCCTTTGGATGGGACGACGCCTTGATGATTGTCGCGCTGGTACGGTCGCCTTGCCGAATGTTTTGAACAATGCTCGAGAAACCGAAAGAGAACTAACTCTCTGGCAGGTGCTGTTCATCTTCCTGAACGCCTGCTGCATGATTGGAGCGAAAACCGGAGTGGGTCACAAGATGCTGGACTTCACCAGTATCAAGACGATAGAGAAAGCCATGCTGGTAAGAGCATCCATTCCCTCCTCCTTTGTATTTTTGAAAGCATTCCTCTAATCTAAGATGGAGAGAACTATAGTGGTGGTGGTTGGGTCAGATGTTATATCTTTGGGCCTCTGCTGTCGCCAAAGTATCCATTGCCCTCGCTCTGCTGCGGTTGACTGTGCGCCAGGCGCATCGCATCATCCTGTGGACCATTATTGGAGTCGTGACGGCCATCGGTCTGATGTTCTGGCTGGTTCTGCTGTTCGACTGCCACCCCATCTCGTATTTCTGGTTGCGGCTTGAACCCACTCATTCGGGAACCTGCCTGTCGATCGACACCCTGCTGGCCATTGCCTACTTGTACAGCGCCATCACCATCTTCTGTGACCTGACCCTGGGCATTTTGCCCGTGTTCTTGATTTGGCGACTGCAGATGAACGGTCGCACCAAGGTCGCACTGGGCGTGATTCTCAGTCTCGGAGCCATGTACGTGTCTGTTCGTTTGGATACTTCTAGTCGCAATATTCTAACCCGGTTCCAGCGCGAGTGTGGCGGTTATCATCCGACTCCCCTTTCTACACTTCTATGGAGACACCGATTTCCTCTGTGAGTGACCGCTCCACGGCTGGGCACAATGCATCGTTTCTGACGCGACACAGACTCCACATACCAGATCGCCATTTGGTCCATCATTGAGACCGGTCTTGGAATTACGGCTGGCAGTCTCGTAACTTTACGCGCCCTGTGCCGCTGGTTCCTCGAGGGTAGCAGCACCCAGGGCCGCCGGGTCCCGGGGAAACAGGCCAGCGATGGCCCATACGCGCTGTCCAGCTGGACGGGAGAGGCCTCGAAGAAGAGTATGCGCGATCCCCGGTATTGGCGGCCAGACCTCGTCCCCGGCCAGATGGATCATCTCACGGTCACCACGGTCTCCTCGCCGATGGCTGGGAGTCCACGGAGTGACGCCAATAGCAGCCAGGAGATACTGAACCCGGAGGGAGAAGCGTGGCATCATGGAAACCATGTTAGTATCCACCAGACGTTTAAGCTATCCGCGGAAGAGTAATTTTGCCGGGTACTGGTTTGCCTGAATCGTTTCATTACGCCTCTCAGATATAATATAATCTCTTCTATGTCATGTTCAACGCCTAGTTTGTTGCGCTGACAGTAGGAGGAACACCCTCTCCTCAGGTTCATGATAATGTTTGAAAGGAATAATTCTAAAACTCAAAAGTCGTGAGATTCGAAACTCGTGAGAGGATCATGATCATAACAACTTTAGCGCAGCATGCTGACGCATTGAGCGATTAATACAAGAAAGAAAGAAAAATCACAACGCCCATCAGATTCCCAGACTGGCACAACTGAACGCCGGGGAAACCGACCCCGAGTAATCCGTGATGATGGCCTCGACTGCCGCATACAGACCCGGTCCCAACAGAAACAGGCCACAAGCCATGATGAAGGCATGCAGCAGGGTCATGCTCGTGCGCCCGAGTCCCGCAAAGAGCTTCCCCCGGTACAAATGCCAGTACGCTACGGCGAAGAAGATGAAGCCGAAGAAGGAGTCAAAGGCGGCACCCAGCAACGACAGAAAGTCGCCCATGCTGGGGACGACCTCGGAAAAAATGAATCCCAGTACCCAGATGCCAATCATCACCAGGGCCCACACTCCCCATCCCACGACGGTGTTGCTGTGTGCGTGTCTGGAGGTGCCCAACAGGTGAGAATAGATGAATTTAGCGGTGACGTTGGCGTAGATGGCGCCGATGATTAATGTAGGCACGATGACAAAACCAAAGGAGGCCTTCCTGTACTTAGCAAGATCCAGACTGCCAAAAGCGGGCGCAGTGGCGTATTGGCCCAGGTAGCGGAAGCCGATGGCGGGCGGCACGATGAAGAGAACGGTGGAAATGATGGCCAAGACCGCCAGGGACTTGGGGAAGTCCTCCGGGTGCTCCATCTCTGCGATGAAGGTGGGGAAGAGAATCTGGGGCACCCAGAGGAAGGTGATGTTCAGCACGGCGTTCATGCAATCCACCCAGCTGGTGCCGGGCAAGGGGAAGGCGTATGTTCGCACAGGACCATCGGTCGGAAAGTCCAGGGGTGCCGTCTCAATTCCCGCGAAAATGAGGAACAACAGGATGGCCAGACCCATACAAGCCGCTGACATTGTTAGCGAATCACAGGGTGCAAACATTGCAGTGACATGAGTTCACTTACCCGAGAACATCGACATGAAGGAGACATGACGCAGGGTTCTTGGGGCGGACAGGACGATGCCCATGACCATCACGATCGCAGAGAAGGTCACGGTACACAGGGAGTGATCGGACAGTGTATCAAGCACCTTGGCTCCAGTCAGGATGTGGAAACCGATCAGCAGGATGTTGTTAGCCAGCAACATGAAGCCGGAAAAGATGTACGCCGTCTGGCTTTTGCCGAAGACATAGTAGCCAAAGTCGCCTGTCCGTGGTGACGAACTCGAGTCAGTCTCAGAATCCCATCACAGGAAACATGGGAAGAGAGGGAGTTCCTACAAATGTTCCTGATTTGCGGGTGCTTCATGATGTACTTGTGCATGGTGAGGGAGGTGACCCAGAAGAGAGCGCCGGACACAACCATGGTGATGATGCCGGGCACCCATCCGAGCACGCTGAGGGACAATGATGGTCAGTTTTGTGGTCATTGGACATTTTTGCTCTTGACTTACGAGAGTGACCAGGATTGAGCCATGATGGCCAGACAGACTTGGTCTCCGGCGAGCAACCAGGCGGCCTTTTGCCAGGACATGGTTCGGAGTTGGATCTCATGTTGATGGTCTATATCCCGGCATCCCCGCGACTTAGCCTCGGTTCAAACAGACGAATTGAGCTGCAGCCTACCTTCGGTCACCAGCGCATTCCAGATCTCGTTGGACGTGGACTCGTCGGATGCCAGCTCGGCCACATCAGTGGGCGCCTGTTCCAGCTTCTCCTTGCGATATATCGGAGCCGTCATGATGCAGGGCGAACTGCTGGAAACCAACTAGCAGTATCTAGCGGAAGAGGACTCGATCGGAATGCAAGGATCGACGAACCCTGCAGCAGAGAAGTATTTAATTTAAGAAGTAAACAAAGTCGCGCGAGAGAGAAGAATTTGGTTGAGGATGAAGAAGCTTTGATTGGCAGGCGAGGCGGGAGTGGATATGGCGTGATAAGCCCCAAAATGGCGAGGGGAAGTTTTGAGTCGGAAGGAGAACATTTCCTGGATTTGATTGATTGATGGATCGTATAGTTATCTCGTTAGTCTACTATTTTATTGTGATTTGTCTGGCTTATCGTCTCCCCGCGTGGGTCGCTTGTCAGCCCGTCTTGACATGCTCGCCATTTCGATCGTCCCGGTCGCAAGTCGTCTTGGCTGCTGCTGGCTAGAATGGCGTGAGTTGCATCGTATTCTTCATCCACTCCACCCCCTGTCAACGCAATGTTATTGGATCTCTTAAAAAGACCTGTTTTGTGATAATTTTCTCGATTGCAATGGCCATTTCTGGAAAGGCTTGCGATGAATGAGACGTCAGTGACGAACCAGTGTCGGCATATTCACTGCCTCCCCCGAAGCTCAGAGGGAGCTCAACCTCGGCGCTCACATCTCTGGCTTGCAGTTAATCAGTCGGCATGACCAATCCTTTACTGAGCTTGAAGTCAAAATTTTCTGCTTCATTGTCAAGAATATCGCCGACATTACACCATCGGTGAATTGTGGCCACAACTCGAGCAAGGGGTTGCGACCAGTGAGTGGATGAATAAATATGGTACTGCAGGCAGTCCCTGAATAGCCGAACCCAATCCAATCTTCGGCTTGCAGCTTAGCTGAATATAGCTACTCAATGGTGACTAGCTTCCTTCGAGGCTATACTAAATCATGAACGACAGCCTCTCATCGCGTCGCATGCGGGAACGTGTCACCGGCGTCTCCTCACGCAGCACCGCATCACTCAAACCCTGTCACAATGCGTTGGACCGGTCGCGCAGAGTATTTAAAGTAGAGGGAAAGAGCCTGTGAGATCGCACCGGAACCAGTCGTATCCTGGCCATGATTCTCAAAGTCATGTTGCGCGGCCATCTTCTACTGCTAGCAATCGGCTGGGCTGGAGTGCTACATGCCCTACCCAACCCGCAAAGACGAGGAACCATCAACAAGCGCCTGCAGTTCACCTCCAATGGTACCTTCCAACTTACCGTGTTCGAGGATCTCCATTACGGAGAGGGTAAGTCGCACTGCTAATTAATCACCCGGGAATAGGATATACATTGACCCTTCTGTAATAGCGGAGGACACCGACTGGGGCCCGGAGCAAGATGTCGAGAGTCGCACCGTCATCAACACCGTCCTGGACCACGAAAGTCCTCAGCTGGTAATTCTGAATGGCGACCTCATCACGGGAGAAGACACCTTCCTGTCCAATGCCACGGACTACGTCGATGAAATCGTGGCTCCACTCGTCCAACGAAACCTACTGTGGGCGTCCACCTACGGCAACCATGACAGCGACTACAACCTCTCCCGCAATGCTATCCTGGACCGAGAGCGGACCTATCCCAACAGTCTGACTACCAGCATGGTTTTGGGCAAGCTGGCAGGTGTGTCGAATTACTACTTGCCTGTGTACCCGTCCGATGCATCCCAGAGCACCCCAGCAGTCATCCTGTGGTTCTTCGATAGTCGCGGAGGGAACTATTACCAGGAGCTCGAGGGCGGGAGTGAAGTTCCCCAGCCATGCTGGGTCGATCAGTCGGTGGGTCGCAAGTTTCGTTTCCCGCACAAAGGCGATGCTGACCCCTTCATCAGGTGGTGTCATGGTTCGTGGAAACCAATCTGAATCTCACAGCGCAGTATGGGAGAGTAGTACCTTCGCTTGCCTTTTACCATATTCCCGTCAACGCCATGTTGGCCTTTCAAAAGCAAGGCGTCGACACCCATGAAGAGCCGGGCATCAATGCAGACGATCCCCTCGATCAGCAGGGAGCAGCGAGCGGGCAGGGTGAGGTCTCCGGCACTGTGTTCAGTTACTCGGGCCAGGATATTCCCTTCATGGAAGCGCTGCTCAATACCAAAGGGCTCTTGGCAACCTTCAGCGGTCATGACCATGGCGACGATTGGTATGTCTTCTTTGAAGATCTGGCTAAATATGGGAAGACAGCATATCTAACTGGAAATAGGTGCTTCAAGTGGGACTCCAAGCTCCCCGGGATGAACCTGACCGGGAACGGGCTGAACATGTGCTTTGGCCGCCACAGTGGCTACGGTGGATACGGTTCGTGGACCCGAGGCGCCCGGCAGATCCTCCTGGACGAGAGGACTCTGAGCACACAGTTGTCCACCTGGATCCGGTTGGAAGATGGATCGGTTTCGGGCAGTGTCAACCTCAATGCCACGTACGGTGAGGATGCGTATGCCGCTGTGCCAACAACGTATACGTGATGCTTTACGCAGAGTCTGTCCCGCCATGGCAGTCTCTCCATAACGACACGGAATGTTTGGCGTAGAATCGCTTCGACGGGAACACAGGAAGGTTTATACATCTACGCTGGCATACGTGAGGGGAGCAAGGCCAGGAAATCCATAGCTGCGTCATGATCGTCGTCGTCGTCGTCATTTCAACATTTCGCATCTAGTAGCTGTCTATACCGACATATATACTACTCTATCGTTTTAGTATTTCTTTTCCATGGTGAATCCATGGCCAGCCAGATACTCCTCCAGCTCGCGATCCTCCTTCTTCAGATCCAATTTCCCGCTTTCCGGCAGGAACCAGTACACAATCATGCCCAGAATCGCCACGCCACCCAGAAGGTAGAAGGTGGCGCTGTCTCCGGCGGCATCCTGCAGGGGCGTAAAACACTGCGTGCCCACCGCCGCTCCCGTGCGACCAAAGGCCGTGGCCACACTGTACCCCATGCCGCGCATGGCGGTGGGGAATGATTCACTGGATATGAGGCCGATGGTGGCGCCGGGCCCCAGGTGTCCAAAGGCCTGTAGCAACCCGTAGAGCACGACAAAGGCCGCGATATGCTGGGAGAGCTTGGCGTAGGTGCCACCGATGATGAAACCCAGGACCACGTAGCCCGCGAATCCGACCATTCCGGTGCCCCGGCGTCCGATCAAATTGGTCAGCCATGCGCCGATGATGACGCCGGGGACGGGGAGCGCCGCCAGAATGACCTGCCAGATGGCGGTCGTCTGGATGTTGCCGTCCTTGACGAGCGAGGAGATGATGGTGCTCGACATGATGCTGTTGGGGAAGTTGATAAAGTCGTAGAGGAAGAAGGCCAGCGAGGTGGTGAAGAGCCGCTTCCAGTACCGGCGCACCAGCACCCAGTAGAATCGGGCGGGTTTCCGCTGGCGCTTGAAGTTGGAATGGTGATACAAGGTCGAGTCGGTCATGAAAAATCGCAAAACCATGATGATGGCGGGTAAGATGGTGGCAATGCTGTAGATGGCATGGAAGGTGATGGGCAGGTTGTTGTTGGTGGCCTTGAGGCAGATCAGGTAGATGATCATCAGAATGGGAGAGGCGGTGGTGGCCATCAGCGTGGTGAAGGAGACAAAGACAGGTCCTCGGTAGCGGCGCTTAAACTGCATACAAAGCATTCTGGTTAATTGCACAGTCTTGAAATCCTTGGTCCTGGTCTGCCTGATAGTGCGCCGGTAGGGAAGAGAAGGGGATGGAAACGTACATCGTCCGATTCTTCCAGGCCGGCCGCCGCACTGGGAGGGTATTCTCCGCCCACGCCAAACCCACAAATGCCACGGACGATGACAAAGTACCAGAGCATGTTGTGAGAAGGGTGCACCTGCAGGGCCAGGGTGGCCATCAGCGTGGAGATGGTGACCAGGCCCGAGGTGAAGAGAAGACCCGCGCGCCGGGAGGCCATGTCCGAGACGTATCCCAGCACGACCACGCCCAGAATGGCACCGATGAGCAGGGAATTGCTAATGCGCGTCTGCATCTCCGATGGGTAGCCGGATTTGCCCAACAATTTCTTGAAGATGACATTTGTGGGATTGGCCAATTGGTTTTGGAACCCATCGCTGAAGTTGGCGATATACTGTCACAAACCACTGGTTAGCGACGCGTTCATTGGTAGCTTTTGGTGGGGTTGAAGAGAAGAAAAGAAAGATCATCGGTTGTGTACTTACGCAGCTCAGGATGGTCAAATTGCTCTGCCACCGCGTGGGACGGTAGGCTGACGGCGGACCACTTTCCACCTCCTGGTCAGCCACTACCGTCTCGGCTGCTCTTTTGTCGGACGTATTCTCGCGCATCGGGTGTGACTCTGCAGATTGACTTCGTGGTAGGATCAAATCACTGAGCGGGGATGGTAGGGACAGGGCAGAAATTTAAGGTGAGGGGAAGCTTTCGCGGGAGCCCTACAACAAGCCCCGGCACCGGCCGCGGAACCGATAAATTATCAGATAAAAGATTGTAGCGCAGACCCAGTTCCGATAATGGCCGATGCTCTGGTTGGCCAGTTAGACTGTGTCAAGCATTCTCTCTGCTCAGGCCATTCTCCGCGGGGAGAGAAAAGAAGGTTACTGGCCAATGACTAACAGTAACCATGGCCGATCCCGAGCCAGATGGAGGAGAGGATGATCACACCAATAAAACACTCCCCGTTGCCCCAAAATGCTGATATCCATCACTTCTTGTAGTACCTAATTCTAACATTTAAAATTAACAATCAACGCAGAGGCTATGGTGCTCTCTTCGTTCACGAGACGATGATGAGGGCAAAGATAAAGAAGCAGAGAAAAAAAAAAAATGGCCGGACCCTGCTGGATGACCCACTTGCCGTGCGTCGGTACGTAAGGAGCACAATTAGTGGTGTACGGAGTTATCTATTCTCTGAAGCAGTACGAGAAATGTTAGGGAAAAAAAAGAAACTAAGAAAGAGGGGCACGCTGGACTCGCCGGTGAAGATGAATCCAGACCCTGTTAACTCCAGGCCTAAAAAAATATAAAACTTGATCGCAGTAGCCGAGGTTGTGTGTCAGCGGAATTGCGGCGGAGATTATGAACTAGATAGAGAGGATCACTCATTACTAACATTCATAATAGTTATCATAATAGTGACTTGCTCATAGATCTTATATTATTTTATATAGTATGCATTTAACTAACGAATGTGCACATCAACGACATGTTGAATGAGTTACTAGTAAGTATTACTAGCACTACCAAGTAGAGGGACTGCTCCAAACCATATATACATTCTGGATAGAACTGACCTACTATAGATACAAAAGAAAGAATACACTCGAGTATCAAGAAGAGAACTCAAATCACCACGGAAAATAAAACAAACAATCAACATCACCAATTTTCTACTGTGCTTTCTTCTCTTGTGTTCCATCCTGTCCTTCTGCTGACTCCTGATCCTGACCTTCCGGCGATGGCATACGCGAGAGCCAGAACCGAGAGATCAACCCGCCCAGGTATTTCTGATCGATCCACTTGATGAGGCCGTACAGCAGCCAGCCCCAACCCCACAGCGACACGCCCATCATACTCGCCACCAGGAGCACCGGTCCCAGAATGAGCACCGACAGTATCGCCCAGAGAACAATGGCGACCGCAGCAAAGACGAAGACGCCCGCAAGGAAGACGAGTAAGGGCACGCCGCAACAGATAGCTTGGCAGACGAGGAAGGTGGTGCTGGCGGGACGGCGCGCGGCCTCGTCGTAGAGCCAGGCCTGGCGCGGCGCCGGCAGGATCCAGGAGAGCAGCCAGGCGAGATGGGCCTCGAAGCGATCGAGCAGACGGGGCAGGGACTGGCGACACCACTGCTGGAGGGGCGCGAGCACCGGCCCATTGTTGGCGTCGTCGCGCTGCGCATCTTGAATATGATCTGGCTCGCCGGGATATTCGCCGGGGAGGACCGAGTCGGGCAACCGAGTGGCGGTTTGCGTGGTGGTGTCCTGCGTTTGCTGGACGGTCGACTTGAGGTCGTTGGCCAGCTTGGGCGGACGGCCAGCCAGGTTACCGGTCGCGGAACTGAGAGACATCGCGGGATTGTTGGAAGGAAGCTTAGATGAAGTTAAATTAGAATGTCCAGAGAAACAAGAACAAGTAGTAAAGTTGTTGGGGGTGGGGATTTGGGCAACAAGATAGATAGACCGTCAGTGGAAGGGAAGAGTAGAAAAGAGCAGCCGCAAAGCAATGACGTAGAGGGCGGGGGAGGACATCGTCAATCCAGGGTGGCCCTGAACGGGTGGACTGACCCCGACCCAGTCATCACAGTTGCTTTGTAGAACTCAAAAACTCTTCTCCATCCAGTGGTAACTTCTACTTCATACGTATCTTCTTTTCTGCTTCCCACCAGGAATAGGCCCCCGTCCTCGGTGACGTCACTGCTCTCCTGCAGCATATCGATCAGGAACCCTAGGAAGTTCACAACAAGAAAGCGGCTTATGAGTTTTAATCTCACGAGGTCTACTACAAGGCACATGAGGGAGCTCCATTGATTGCCTAGACTGTCGAGCCATTAGGTTCATCCTCGATCGCTTCCTGCTTGGTCCTGCGTCGCCCACACCACATGCTTCGCTTCCCGACCGCCGCCCGAGCCTTGTCATCCCCGCCATGTCCCTGTCTTCCGATACGCAAAAACGCGCACAAGGGAATGCCGATGGCCGATATCCCAGCACAGTAGAGCAAGGTGGCACTGTATGGGGCGATCGCATCCCCCGCAAAGTATCCATGGCTGGTAGGTCCGCCCGCCTCGACGGCATCGAAGATGGCGGTGCTGATGCCCATCCCAATCGTCACACACAACTTGGTCACCGTCTGCAAGATGCCGCCTGCAATGCTCTGCTGGTCGGCTGGCAGGGCGCTCATCACGTACATGTTCGCGACGCAGAATTCAAAATCCGCCCCCACCACCGCCAGCAGCAACCCGGGGAAGATAAATGCCCAGTAGCTGCTGCTGGAATGCTGCAGCCCCATGAGCAGAAAGGCCCCCGTGTAGGCGGTGGCCCCGACCGTCATAAGCAGCGTGTTGGACACCCGATGCATAATGAGCCCCGCCACAATGTTGACGAGAATGCCGCCAATCGCCATGGGGAGCAGGTGCACGGCCACCATGAGGGCGGAGTACTGCCGGATTTCCTGCAGAAATAGCGAGATCCAGAAGGTCATGATGGGGAAGGCCAGGAAGCCCAGCAGCAGAATCGTGATGACCAAGGAGAAGTCCCGGTCGCGCCAGATAAACATGGGCACCAGAGGGTATTCATACCAACGCTCCCAGAAGACAAAGCCAACTATGAACAGCGCGCCCAGGATGAGCAGCACGAGCACGTATGGCGTCTTCCATCCAGAAGGGGCATCCGAGCCAAGACTAGAGCAGAGTCAACTGTCAGTCGGGAGTAAAAAAAAGGAAAAAGGGCTATATGATGAGGACAGCCAGGCAACGCACCTCAAGGCGCCCGAAAACATGCCAATCCCGGCGATGGTCAGAATGGTCCCGACGACGTCGAATTTCTTCAGTGCGAGAAGGGACAGAGGCTCTTTGGCCCCATGGTCCGTCGGCACCACGAACAGTGCGACCGCCACGACCACGACGTAAATGATGGCCAGCAAGAAGAAGCTTGCCCGCCAGTTAAAGAGCTGGGTCGCAATGCCCGAGAAGATGGTTCCAAACACGAAGCCCAAGGGATTGCCGGCGCTGAAACAGGCAAACACCCGATTCTTGCGCTTGGATGGGCGCGGGTACAGGTTGGCCAGCATCCCCTGCGCCGGCGGGATCGAGGCAGCTGACATCAAACCCATCACGCCGTTCAAGACGTCCAGTTGCAGGGGCTTCTGGGAAAACCCGGCACCCAGAGCGAAGACCGCATAGAAGACGAGACTGCCGAGAAAGAGGGTCTTGCGACCAAACAGGTCTGCGAGGCGGCCGAAGCAGAGGAGAAAGGAGCCACAGGCGAGCCTAAACGGTTCTCATCATTAGCTACACCGATATGCGAAGAAAATATGAAGGGAGAGAATTGGGGGGATGGCGCACGAGGAGGAACCGGCCAGCCAGGTGAGTTCAGCGGTGGTCATGCCCAGATCCGTCTGCACTTGCGCGGTGAGGACGGTGACACTGCCGGTCAGGAGCGACGACATGGCGATGGCCATGGTGGCCACGGCGACAAAAAGGATCTCCTGCACGGTGGACGAAAAGACCGCGGGTCGACTCTCATCGTTGGGTGCTTCGCGGAGTGCCGTGGTGGAGGATGGGTTCTTCTCCGGCGCGCTGGACATGCTGGACTCCATTTCTCCCATGTTCGCCATTGGGAGTGATGGCACGAAGGGTGAGGAAGACCGCAGAAGAAGTAGTCCGAGGATCGCTGACGAAGGGAGGGGGAATTGAGGAAGAGAGGCGTAATCGGTGGCACCTTGGTACCACCTGAAAAACGACTGAAAGAAAAATAAAAGGTATCGCCAACTAGTCACTTAGTGTCATTCACTATTCACGCGGCTTACGAAAGACGCGGGGGTTTTCCGCAGATGTTGATCGGCAAAAACCAGCAACTTTTGTTCCAAGTTGCACGGCAGATCTGCTTGTCGGACACCGCCAATTTGAGAAGGCTGAAGTCGAGGCTGATCGACTGTCCGAAGTGGTATAGACTGTGTAGACTTAAACAGATGAAATCAACTTAGGTGTAGATTCCCAGTCTGTCAATCCTCGTGGATGCAACCATCAGCAAGTTGGAGTGTCGATTCAGATCATCGTGTATCGGGGCCAAGCCAGCCCAGGAGGACCGGAAACCGAGACCCGTCAAACCCAATCAACTGCCGAGCTCCAACTTATCGTGGGAGAAGGTGCGGGTCTTGTCCGGGAAGACCAGCAACCGCAATACGAGGAACACTGCAATGTACTGGTGTCTGTCACTGGGGATACCTGGTTGGAGAGGAGGTGCTTGAGTGATTTGTTCGTTCCAATTATTGCTACCCCTAATCTAATGGTGGTGGTGGTGGTGGTGGTGGTGGTGGTGTACCACTCCGTGGCTATGATCTCCGACCGGAGTTAACTTGTCCAACTGTGAAATGCATCTTGAAGACCATTTGCAGGAAAGACGAATGGTCTACCTACCATCCACTAGGCCTGAAGATTAGGGGGGCAGGAGAATCTAAGTTATTTAAAGTTAGGTGGACCCGGGCACCGTCTTTAAAGTCCCTTGGATCCGACTTCAGCCCACTGCGGGGAGACGCACCAACTGACGTATCACACCCACCCTTCCCCTCTCCTGTGAGTATGCACGGACGATTCATGGCAATGATACTCAAAAGGAGAAGTGGGTTTAACCCCTCTTCAACAGTCATATGCAAAGTGGGGCGAATTTGCCCGGGTATGAAAAGCATCGTGGATGTAATGGCCCGCAAAAAGTCTATCAAACGCGGTCCTGAATTACGCTTTTGACCCACAAGCAAGGAAAACACGAAATATGAAGGGGGAATGTTATCCTATCTCCCATGCCTCATGCGGGGTACACATAAATCACTTCCTCAGTCTAAATCAATCAAGAGCTTGCCCAGTCATAGAGTAGCTGAAGTAGTGTATATTGATGTCTATTGGGTATCAGGTTGGCAGAAACATCTCTTCTACAATGTATCATGTCATCATCGCAAAAATAACCATGATCAAGCACTAGAATGGACCAAAGTCTCCCCCAAAGTCGTCAAAGTCCGGGCCTGGGGGTGGTGGACGATCAAAATCATCCTCCAACGCCTCGATGCCTTCTCCGAGCAGGAATCCTCCCAGCAATCCTCCGCCCACTCCCAGGGCAGCCGCCCCCATCTTCCCCATGCCTTTCTTCTGCTTCTGGTTGCGCGGAGCTTGGGCTTGATCCGGGCCGTTCTGGTATGCAGTGGGATACTGATTGGGATAAGCGGGTTGCGGGGGATACACAGGGTTATAGCCATAGCCATTATACCCGTACTGGGGCTGCGGGTAGCCGTAGGGGATTTCCCCTCGATTCGGCGTGTATGTGGACTGCGACGCAGGCCGTGGGGAGGAGTAGTAGTAGGGATCCGGACGATCCCGAGTTCGTGGATCTGGATCTTGTCGATTACGCGTGGTGGCCTCGTAACTGGGCGGGGGACCCTGGGGAGGCGGAGCCGCACCATCAGGCTGGGCTGGTCGGTCTGGTCGTTCCCATTGTGAGCGCCCGGTGTGAAGGTTGACATAGTACCTTAACAGTAACAAAATCGTCAGTACAAGCGGACTCGAGAGGGAATCCCAAGGCCTCACTATGGTTGCTTACCATTCTTGATAGCGATCATCAAATTCGGCTTTCCAGCGCTCGGGCACAAGAGGGGCAGGAGGAGGCATGGTGACACAGTTTTAAATTGAGATAATTTCAGAGATGGTAACCAAATGCAGTGATTACTAGCCGATGTGGTGACTGAGAGTGAGATGAAATCCGAGATATGCCGAGTGGATCTATATGTCTCTTATATATTGCACCGGATCTGACGGGCCGAGTTGGCCGGCAAAGATTTTAGGCGCCTGCGCCACTTGACATCATCCCGACCAGCGCATGCAGAACAACTTCAAGGGGAACGACACACTGTTGATGGTGCCAGCATACAATGTATACTCTGGATCAGGACCGGCCGAGAGGCTTGCAGGAGGCGGTGCAACTGGCCAACGTGGCAAGGAATCCCGGGGAGCCTTCCAGTGAGTATCCGAACTACGATGAACCACTCCACTTCCGACTAGAGTCAGGATGATTCTGTTGTTCCTGAGAACTTCCACCCAGCCTCTGAATCTTTCCTCCAAAGAGAAAAGCTATAGCAAGTATGTAGCCGCCGGTGTGTTGGCGGCGCGATTTACATTATCGCCAGGAATGACCTCGAGTGTGGCGGGCTATCATCACCTCTATCCATGCACTGGACTATCCCCACCCAACTTTTCCCCAATGGATGCCAGCGTTTGGCCTTGTATAAGTTATAATAGCTCTACCACGGTGTATACCTCGGAATAGGTATATCTAGTGGCTATTGGTAGGTTATTGAGGCCTGACGAACGGGAGTACCCACCGGGTTCCGGCTTCTCCGTGCAAACAGGCAGTTATATTCTTCCGGCGGCGATTTGACAGCGTACATTAATGGATGAATAATTCCTGAAGCATGGTTTCTTTTCATTTCTTGCATGAAATACTCCGTCCAGTGAAGATCAGCAGCTATCCGCATTGTCTAGAGCCTGGAAGCCCCTCGGACTCTAACAAAGCTTGTCATTCATTCATAACCTAAGCAAACATGGCCGAGAATGAACGTCGATATCAGCCTCCAGTAAGACTAAGAAGCTTATGTGAGATGTGACAGTCGACTAACACCCCCTAGCCTGGTCCCCCGCCGAACTTTTACGCGGGACCTCCTCCCCAAGCGCCCCAGCCAGCTGCATCCTATGGATATCCTCAATGGCCGGCTTATCCACCACAAGGCCCGCCACCACAGTCGATGCAGTACCCGGCCCCGATGCCGGTTCAACAAGCCCCCCCAGGACGTATGCAACAGAGCAATCAAGCGTCGGGGGAAGAGGAATGTTGCGCAGGTCTTCTTTCGGCCTTTGCATGTTGTTGCTGTCTTGATCTGCTGTTATGATTAGCATGCCTCCCCCGGGAGGGGTGCATAGTGGGATTCCTCGTGAACTACCTAACTGATTGAATGAGACGAATCAATCACTGTTGTAGAAGACAGTCTGTACATATATGCCAAGGGATACATTTAATCATGACAGCCAATTAAGCTTATTGGTGTAAGGGTCTCTACCCCGGCTCTTGAAATAAGGTTTCCTCAAACCATCCTCTGAGCTAGTCAGGAATAGATGACTTGTTGGATACCTCCAACTACCCTACGACGGATGGATTCACACGTAAACCGACGACTATCGCAGATAAACTTGAACGGTAGTATGACGTACCACTTGTCTGGGGAAGAAATCCGAATGGCAGTACATTTATAGAATGGCTGAGTTCTTTGACCCTCAAGTTCGGGCTACTCGATGTGCAATCTTCGTTGTTCTCGCGGGGTTGCGCATGGCCGACGGAGTCCGGTTCCCAGGCGTCTCTCCGTAAAAGAGATGAACTCAATTTGCTGACTTAGTATGCAGGTAGACCCACAGGTAATATCCTTTTACCCACAGTATCCTCTTTCAGCTGATGCACATCTACCAAACCTTTGACGCAATAAAATATTAGTGATTGATGATAGGATAGTCTCTGCGGTCATTTAGCTACTCCATGTGCAATCACCCCCGTCAATGCTACGTGGTCACCGACGGACTCCACTTTCAATAGACATGTTCGCCGAAAACTTTCATCTAAAGGAGATAAAATATCACTCGGGGTTCAACTTACATGCAGGGGTTTCCTAGCACTTAATTTGTACATGAGCGCAGAGCTGGTAAGGTGCACCATACTGGGTAGGTGTCATCCTATCGCTGGAACCCTTTGACCCCTACATAGCACCAGAGCGTTTTGTGGTGAGGCATTTTGACAAACCGTCTCTCGTTTGTGATAGGGTGGGTCTCAAAGCAATGTAGCCTAGCAAATAGCCTGATGTGAGAAACCCAGTATGCTCTCTGTCACTGGGTGCATTGTTCTTCGTGGTCAGGAAGCCCACAGGCCATCATGTACGAGCTATTTTCTCGTGGTTTCCATTCCCCTACTATCCAGACTTTATCAGCCCCATAAGGCGATCCATAATATGAGCATGGTATATGTTCTGGATCCACCTGATCTAGTGTGGATAACTGAAATGCCATGACCGCAATCATCTCATTCGGTAGCCACACTGTCTGTCTTATCATTCAATAGATTCGTGTTTCTTATATTTCTTGGCCACCATCTAATACGCTTTATGTTAATTTTTAATCTTCTATCTTCAACATCCTTGGGTACGTGGCCGAGGTGGAGGAGGTGCACTGTACCGGTAGTCACCGCACGAGTATTGCATTACTCTCCGTATTGCGTGCGAATTGCACTGGAATACCCAACGACAGTGGGCACGTGAATTACACTCTCATAAAGTCGCTGAAATCTGGGCTCTTCGGTGACAGTAAGCAATGACAACTACCCCAAGTAAAGCACATGAAAGAGTGAGAAACTAACACGACAAAAACCTCCCAGCTCTACGCATACAAAACAGCGCGATGGTTGAGCGCTTTTCTATCGAGCAGATCTCTGCTTCATCTAGACAAAAATCCGGGATGTCAAAGACGAAGACCCTCCTATTCACTATATTAATCACTCTACTATCCCTCTGCACTGCAGCGGCACTCATCGTCGCCTCGATCGCAATGAAAAAAACACAGGAGCTCGAAGACTTCAGATCCTCGCTCTTCATCAGCGATTTGGAGCGCATATTTAATAGCACGGCCTATGCTATTGCAAACAGTGGACCAGATGCACCAGCATGTCATGATTACACTGCGGAGACGATCACCGGCCAAACAACATTGCCCGGTATTTGCGTGTCTGTGGAAGAAAGTTATAATATGTGGGTGACCAGACTTGCAGATAACTGTACTCCGTATATCTTTGCTGAAGAAAACTGCACTGGCGTTTCTAGAGGCTTTGAGAAGATAGCTACTCCCACATGTATCGTTGCAGCAGGAGGAGGCCGATTGAGTGGGCAGTCGGGGGACTTTTACAGGAGCTTTCGGATATCGTGTACCTAGAGATCGGCCGAGTGAAGCTGCAAGACATGAAGAGAAATGGGAAGAAGTTGCCGCGGACACGGATCTTTCACTGAAACGCTACGAGGGCAAATTTGATCGAGCCGATAAGTCTATTTCCTACTTCTACCGACTGAGCGTGTTGCAGTCAAAAACTTCATGTGGCTTTTTCTGGAGGGAAATAATGTTGAGGTATCTTCTTGAGATGATCCGGATGGCCTACCATTTGAGTACTCATGGCATATAGTGCAGCCTCCTTATAATTGACTATTACTGGCCTGCTGTTATTCTGAAAATCGTTGTATCTGTGTCAGACAAGACAGCATCCTGATGTGCACATATAGAATACACTACAGAGTTTTTGCCCACTAACAGTAGCGCTAGACAAAATCCAGTCGCCACACATCATCCAACCGCTCATTTGACTCCGCAAGTCCACCGTGGACTATGATGCTCCCAGGATTGGCATGTGCTTCAGGGCCGATGACGTCCGCATCAAACCAGCCACGCGCCGGAGGTCTGTGTGGCTCCGCAACATCCACCTGTGCCCACCGCTGAGATTGGAGATCAAATGCCCACACATCCGCTAGCATCTTCCCGGCACCTTGGTGTCCCAGGTTACTTGGATCATGCTCGCCAAACATTGTTACCAGAGACTGCTTTCCAGCGATGGTTGTGACAAGCAAGCAGCCGACACTTCGCGGACTGGGTCCGGAAACGCCATCCGCTGCATAAGTAAGACTGGTCCACTCATTCGTCCGCACATCATACACATCCACAGCTCCGCCTTGCTCTCTGGTTCCGTCAAATCCGTTCATCCGGTAGATCCGCTGATCAGCGTACGCGATTGACGCACCGCCTCGTTCAGGGCCGGGCGCCGGAGGCAGCTCTAGCCATTGCCGGGAATGGATGTTGAAGGCCCAAAGATCGCGTAGACGGCCACTCGATGGACATCCACCGTGCAGATAGATAGTGTCTGTGCCGTTATTGGTGAGCGTGTGGTAGCTTCGGCCCGCAGGATGTTGCGAGTTTGAGTTTGCAGGGGGCAATTGCGACCAGGTATTCTGGGTCGGATCAAAGACCCAGAAGGAGCCAAATTCCTCGATCGGGGCCATAGCGATACCGCCCCGACCAGAGAAGATATAGAGTTTCCCGGCGAGAGCGGTCGAGGCGGATCCTACGCGGGGTTGGGGGTGAGTGGCAGACGGGGGAGTCTGTATGAGACTTCGGTTGCTGGATGTTGCTAGTCTGTGTCAATCAAAGTATGGTCCTGATAGATCTTGCCGAGTGGTCAAAGTTATGGCGACTTACAAGCATCAAAAGACATACGGTATACAGCAGAATCGACTGGTTCTCTTGGCCGCAGCTCCCCGCCATAGATGTATGCGTTGCTGGCGAGAATGGCGAGAGTTTGGGATGATCTCTTGATGGAGACATCCGAGAGAATTTTTGTCCAGATAGCACGCGGCATGGCGAGATGATATCTCCAAATTGAAGGTGAGGTAGGTGATGCGTGAAGGGTAATTCGAAATCTTGATGGTCAACACCCTGCTTTTATAACCCCAACCGCACGGAGTAGGGAACACGGAAACATGGAAACATAACCAGCCAAAGCAGGGTGGGATCCACTCTCCCCGCGTAACGGCATTACCGCGTATAATTTGACCCGATCGGGTTAGCTCACTTGCTCAAGGGAGACGAATTTTGTCAATCCACGCGATATTGTCCTGATCATGTCCGCAGATCACCACATTCATCGGGTGATTGATGTCAAGCAGTGTCAGTTTAGCGATATCCTCTGGAACGGCAGGTAATACGAGTGTCACGCTTTGTCCCCGGGACCAGTAGTCCGCTACCAGGGAGATGATCCGCTTCACGAGGTGAGTGGGATAGTGCGAGTGCTCAAATCCTCGCGTTTTCCTCTCCAGATTCGGCCACGTAACGTCCAGAATGAAGTGAAATAAGCTATCTGACTGCCAGAGACCGACCAACTGGAGGAGACTTTCAGCCAGACTGAAGGTGTAGACATCGGCCGTACCTGCTGCAGCAAAATCCAAGGTGCTCACAATGTGGCAGAAACTCTGTGCCAGCCGAGGAAGCACCGTCGCGGCAAAGTGTTGCTCCGATGCATCGTCAGATGCATACACTGCGCGGGCCTCTTCGAACATCATCTCGCAAAGTATCTGGTACAAGGTGTTCATCGTATCTCGATGAGTTGAGATGTCCCACTCCCTTGGAGGCATAGTATCACGATGGCTGTCAGCATAGCGACCGACAGGTGATTGCTTCGTATGTCGGAGAGAGCTCCAAACAGCTAACCGTTCCTTCTGCACCTGCAACAGCCCCAGTAGATGCGAGCCACGTACAAAGCCTTTCCGTGCCTCGGAAAGCTCCTCGAGGACAAAGGGCCTGCCTAACATCTCGGTCAAGAAACTGTGCGCGAGACTGCCAACCTCTCTTGACGATTCGGGGATCTCGTAACGGTGTGCAACGCAGCGAAAGACTACCAGTCGCGAGCGGATCTCCATAGTTTTGATAAGAATGTCGTAGATCAGGTCATCCCTACTCATTCCCAGAACGGCGGTGAGGTATAAATGGTCGGTGGCATCTGGAAAACAGTTTGGGCCGAACGAGCTTCTGCCCTCACCCTCCAGTAGTAATGATGGTGGCTTCGATAGACGATGAGAAACACATAAGCGATGCCACATTTGCAGGGCCTCCGCTCCCCTCGCGGACCGCATGATGTGCTCCCTATTCCGAGAAACAAATTCAACAGTATCCCACACCGCCGACCGAAAGCGTTGATGGTTGGTCGACGCGTGATGGTAGTATGCAAGAAGAATTTGCGTTGTAAGAATAGCGGGTGCATCGTCTGAGAGCTCTCTCATGTCCGCCTTGCGACAAAGTTGTAACGCGCGGTCATGATAGTCCCGCGCTTTAGCGTGATGTAAGCTATTGACCAGTGGGCTAAACGAAGACTGACGGTGGCTTCCCACGAGGATACGGCTCTGTACTTGTGCATCCAACATCGAGAGGTTGGACGCGGAGATGCACAAGACAGCAGCTCGAAGGTACGGGGAGTGGAAGGTTGCGGTTGCAGATGGCAAAGGGGATGCGGGAAGGAGATAGCGCACATGCCTCTGGAAATGGCTTAGGTAGCATGTTTCAAGATTTTCTCCGCAGTCCAGAGACCTAGCGATCCTGGCTCGCGTGAGCTGATGGGAGATGCATGACCTCGGCAGATGGCGAAGCTCTACGGCCACCTTACTCGGCACAGAACTCAAAGGAAGAAGAGCCGACCGGGGACTTTCCGCCAGAGTGGTCGGCTGGCGCTGCAGTTTCGTCGGGGTGATGTTATGGAAGCTGTAGTCGATGCCATAGGTACATTCCAAGGATAGCCGGGCGCAAGCTCGGCAACGCGGTTTTGATTCATCGCACTGATAGGACGATGAGCAGGATTAATTCCTCCTGAACTTCTACTAGGATTGAAGACAACTGACCTTTTTGCCTCGCCGCCGGCAAGGCTTGCAGCCAGAGTGTTTTCTGGTGATCCGCGGCTGGTTGCTCGCGTTCTCCATACCTCGATCACCGAAAGGCATATGGTGATACAAGATTGCGATGGGAGGTAATCAGGGAAAAGTGTTTGCTCCGAGCCGGTTTCGGAGAGAGAATTGATTACAACCGTTACCAGTTTCATCCATTTATTACACCCACCAATTACATTAATTACCATCCACAGCGACCGACCGCATCTCGTCGTCGTCGGCCCCCTTCAAAATAATAAGCTCAGATCAGACTCGATAACGTTGACCTTTGAGCAACATCTTCTCCTCCTCGTAAAGGTTCCCAATTGCACTAGTTGATAAGTTACTTATTGACAAGGTCAAGGGTAGTAGTACTTGCATTCTGCAATATGTTCTCATTTCAAGTTACTGTTGGTAGCTGTCATACTACGGTTGTATAGAGTGGAAGTACTAAGTACTGGGGAATAACTGTATGCCTTCCCCTTGACGTATCAGGAGCAACATACCAAGCTCTGCATATTGCGGCCAAATTGATATATCTCAGTGGCCATATCAATCGCAACGCTTTCGAGCAACGCTCTCCAGGATGAGTAGGCAGTTGCGCATGGTACGCCGGTATGCGCCCCGAATGAAAGTATCCGTCTATCTACCCTCCGCCTACCCTAGTAAGTAAGGTCTGTTTTGGTTCCTAACTATAAAATAAGATGTGTTTCTGATTTAAGCAGCCCACACGGTTAGGCGGCCCAGCTGGTAATACTATAAAAGATCCTTTTTGAACATAAGATATCTCAACCATCAAAAGTCTATGAGACGTGAATCCTGATATATAGTTTGAAAATAGTATAAAGAATCTTTAGATATATTCTAAAAATCTTATAAATATTTTTAATAGATTATCATTATACAATACCTGTATTTTATATATATTATATGAAAATATAATATATCTATGTATATAAAAGAATTAAAAAATCTGAGACATTTATAGGATATATATATATATAATTTATCTATAATATTAGAACCTCTCAACTACAGTATTTGTTGAGATATAATAGAATTAAAAAATTATCTTTTATATATGATAGTAGGATGGGCCGTCCAACCGTGTGGGCCGCTTAACCGTGGACTATGTTAACTAACCAAAGAGCAAGTCTCACCTTCTAATGTAGGCAGCAGGGTGTGGCATGAAAAAAGGCTGGTGAGGCAGCCTGGCCAGTGTCACAGTAGCGTCTTCCCTTCGAAAAGTCTATGTATGCCGCACAACAGAGTCTTTGAGATCAACATCCTCAGGTGTGACCGCTATACTATACCTACTATGGTCTCGGCGATGGGGTCATATCGTTTGTTTTGTCCATGCTTACTTCTCTTATCCGTGTCTAGCGCCAGAATTCCCCAGGGGAAACTTTCCGGAGGAGACCTCAAGCGCAGTGATTGACATGTGCCATACAGTGGCTATTTCAGTACTGTAAGTGCCTTTTCCATGTTGGAACATTGCAATAGGCTTCTCGGGACTCGACCGACATTTCAGCCAGCCATCGTGCATGACTCGTGGCGGTTCCGCCCATCTGGAACCGTCGCGGTGGAGGGAGTTGCAGCCCGGCTGGGTCCACTTTGGTAGAGTCAACGAATTTCGAACTTATACCAAATCACTTTAGCGATGCCCAAACAATTGGGAAGCACTAATGGGACCCAGTTAAGTATTCTGAAGGTCTGGTTGCAGCTCGGCTGGGTTCAGGTCCCACGACTATACTTGGTTGGGAAGCTCGAACGACACGCGCCTCTTCCGCCTGACAGGAACAATGTCCTGGTTGCAGGGAGTTGATCCGCTACACAGTAGGAACCAAACACCACACCAACCATGGATAGCGAAGATGGACCGGAATCTTCGGATTACTCAGGCCCCCGATCGTCGACAGCCCCACAAGCAGACTGACCCTCATTCAGCATTAACTTTAAGTTGTCCAGGACACCACTCGAGTAGGATGATCGTGGGTTAGAAGTCAGATCGTACCTACCTTACGGCCAGCGATTTTGGGTTAGGCGTGATCTGAAGTACCAGTTTACATTTCATTACATCTATATGCTCGTAAGACCAATCTGCCAACATTATACCATAACCAGTTTTGTCCCCTGTAGGTAATTTTGAATGACTCGCTGGACATTAATCCACGTCTTGTTTTTCATGTTAGCGTTTCTTAGGCTAGCTGGGGGATGTTTGAAGAAGGGGATATAAAACGAGCTCGAGTGCTCTTCCAGTTTTTATGTATTAGATCGGCTTGGGATCTCTAAGCTGACACCACTTAACCTGGGAGAAGCAACATTCAATATAGGCTGTTATTATGAGACTGTTTTCTAGGTTCAAGCCGCCGGCGCCGGAGCCAGTCCCTACAGATACGGTGGTGCCTGTGCCACTACTGGACGACCAGCCTCGCTGGCATCAACGGTGTGTGCATTATGGCTATCTATTCAACGATGTTCTGGACTCGGATAAACTGCGACACGCATTGCAACGTCTGATGGAAATTGGGGAGTGGCGGAAACTTGGAGCACGGATACGAATGAATGTAAATCACCATCCTTCAATTGAAATCCCGGTAAAAAGAATACTGACAGACATTCAGAGCCATGGCAAGCTCGAGTACCATATCCCAGCCCACTTTGATGCAGCAAGGCCGGGATTCGTCTTGACCTCCGATAAACAGCCAATGAGTATCAGTGAGCATCCACTGGCATCCAAGTTGCCTACAAGTTCAGGACGGCCGTTCCTCTCCTCTCATCTAGATATATCCTCACTGTCACTTCATCCCGACTGCCCACGGAAGCTCGTTGACTGGCTATTCTCTGACTGGCCACTTCTTGTCATCCATGTCGTGAATTTTCATGACGCAACTCTGCTGTCGCTGACGTATCTGCATGTTGTCATGGATGCAATGGGTATTAAGCACCTCTTTCAGGCATGGTCCTCAGTGGTGAACGGGCGTGAGGAATATGTTCCGAGGTTTCGGGGAATAGACGAAGATTTAGGAGGAACCGACAGCGCCATAATGTCGGCGAGAGAGTTCATCCAATTTCCAAAATGGCTTCGAGGCTTTAGATGGATCATATTCCGCTTCCGCACATTCTGGGAAATGTTCAGGTACGGCCAGCAGGAAACTCGTCAGCTGTGCATACCCGGGCATATTATCAACATCATGCGTGGCCAGATGATGCGGAAGCTTGAGCAGACATCCCATCAGCACGCTGAGTCAGTCTTTTTGAGCGAAAGTGACGTTCTCTTAGCATGGTGGACTCGAACAATGCTGAAGGGGCTCGGTGAGACTGGGAGGCGTCCAATTGCCTTGTACAATCTATTCGATGCTCGGGCTAATTTACCACGGACCTCTGCTTCCGGCGAGGACGCCTTCATCTCTAACGTGATTCTTCATGCAACGACATCTTTGCGCGCCCGAGAGATGGTCTACCGGCCACTTAGCTTTCTGGCATGGCATATTCGGTCCGCGCTAATCCAGCACCGTACCAGACATCAGAGCCTAGCCCAGTTGGCCACCCAGAAAGTCGCACTTGACACCACTGGCGCCACAGCTCTCTGGGGGGAGCCGACCTCATTAATCATCTTTTGCACTAATTGGCATAGGTGCCAACTCTACGAAATCGATTTCTCTTCTGCGGTAATCCCATCCGCAAGCCCAGCCACCGGTCGCAGAAACACCATAGGCAGACCATTGCAACACATTACCGCTGCGATGCCGAAATCGCTTCATACCCGGAATTTTGGGATCATATTTGGCAAAGATGGTGCAGGAGATTGGTGGCTCGCCTGGACATTACGTGCGCAAGCATGGCCAACCATCCAAAAGGAATTGGAAAGGCTGGACAACTTGGATAAACTAGGCCAGCTGGACCAGCTACAGGAAGATAAAAGATCACACCCCAATCAGGGCAGAAATGCCTAGTACGTCAATAATTTGGATGCATTGATTGAAGTAGGTTTGCCGAAGGTCCTTTGTATGTGCGTAAGTTGTGCCGTATCACACTATTCAGTTCAGCCCATATTAGTAATGTTAGACAACAACGAATTGAAGTTTGTATTCCGAGTAATGGAATAATAATTTTGATGACCTCATTGATATTATTTTCAGTGATACGCGATCTTCTCAGGTGAAAAGTCTGCGGGTGGGGACAAGATCGGTTGATCTGAGCAAAGCCACTGGAACTTGCAGCGTTCGATAATCGCTGGTGGACCGACCCACAGCCCAGCTGAATCAGTGTCATGGAACAATCACCCCTTTTCATCGAACCCGGAAGAATGTCAAAAGCCTGTTTAAATTGTTCACTCAAGATAAGGTGCTTACAAGTAGGTAGGAAACCATTTACGGGAGCTCTGTCACCACACAATCCATCTCTTAACGTAAATGTGGAATCAGTGATTACACTGTGTAGATACCTGCCTGCCATTGATGCTTGATTCATCGGATTCACCGGGGCGAACGGAGTCTTTATGGGAAATTTCAGCTGCAGGACTTGTCTCCACTATCTAACACGGGGTAAGATTCCC